TCCCCTCCACCACCACCAGTGTGCAGCCCCACCTGGATGATGCGACGGCAGCCATAGTGCGCCAGAACGCTCACCGCACATCAGCGATCAGTGGGGAGGAACTGGTAGCTGAGTTCTACCGACCAGAAAGGCCACTATCTCCGAGCTGTTGTTGCCGATTCGCAGGGAGTTAACGGTCCTCCTTCAGGCATCTAGCGAAGGCTGGAGGGTTTATTTAAAAGCTGCACCCTAATGAGCGACCGGTGACATGAACGATAGCGTGCCAAAAAAACACAAGCTACTGTGCACTGCCCAATCCGCCCCCGCGCTGGCTCATCACCATCGGCCCTGGCCGAAGCTTACTTGTAGAAGTTCTTGTTGGCCTTCCGCTCGTGGGGGAACCCCATCATGCCACAGATGACCCGGGAGTTCCTGGAGGTCCAGCCGACATCGCAGATCTGGGCCCATCCGTCCTTGTGCTTGACCTCCACGATGCCCTCCGTGATGGGCATTCTCTTCCGGGCGTAGGACACCACTGGCCTCAGCCTGACCTCCTCCACGCGGTTCTCCTCCACTTGCTAAAGGGCGGAGAATTCACGTTCAGCCAAGACGGCACAGTCCGAACAATTGGAACCCCCCCAGGTCCTCCACGAGATGAGGCTAAGCTCTAGTAGAACTTAGAATCTGGAGTAGAATCTTCCTCATTCCTTTGAGGTGGCTGCAATTATTAAAAGCTATAATTATTTATTTAAATAAATGTAAGAACAAGATCCAAATATCAACCTATTATAGGTTAAAGAATAGCTATTTTAAAACCCTATTTGGTTAACACTTTTATTCTTTTATCCAATACGACTTGTCATTTATACAGCTGGGTGTTTCACTAAAGCAATCTCGGTGAAAGTCAACAACTGGTACGTGGACCCACGACCTTTGAATTTCAAATCCAGAGGCCTAAACACCACTCCTTAAGTGCTAGCTGTTAAGGGTACAGCTGGGTGTAAAACAAGGGGTTCTTGTGAAATTCCTCATAATTATAATTAGGATTACAGTTGTCAGAAAACTTAACATCACACTTCAATAACAATCAATATCAGTAAAAAATTCTAGATTTGAATAATTCCTGCTCCTCTTGAAAATCCTTTAATTTGCTACCCTGATTTTTCTTATAATTTTAGAAGTATGCATATAATCCACTAGAATTGGGGTTAACGATGAACATCATGCTAGTTTATGAAACAGACATTATGTCTGTCAGTCACACAGAAATACATTCACACTCATAAAGATCTGAAATAATATTTTTTATAAGAAATACCTTTGATTAACAGATTAATTCCAGTGCTTCTTTAAAAGGTATTTTATTGAGCATGAGATGCCACAGAGACAAGTTTTAAAAATACAGGGAGTGATGATTTAAATAAAATGCTGTGCCATACAGTACAACGTGAACGCTTACACGCCAGTACAAATATATATAAAAAAGTCTTTGTAACCTCAGACTAGAAAATGTCTAACCACAGGGGACACACCTACCCCAGTGCAGCAAAAGGCTGATTCATACTGCTAGACTGTTTACCTAACGGTTAACATGATGCTTCACAGAGAAGTGTCTGACATCTGGCCATCTGAGTGCATCCCTGAACAAACCTGCTTCATTCCAGTGTCTCAGAGCTCCGGCTCCGGGCCAACACGGAGACAGCACCGGAAGAGAAGACGTTATCCCCAGTGGCCAAATGGAAGGAATTCCTCAGCTGACTTTCCATCCTTACTTCCTACCAGCGGCTTTCTTTGAACAGGCTCCTTTGATAAAGGGCAGGAAAGCTTCGAGAGTTCGCAACTCAGCCAGAAACAGTATGTGTTTAAAAACTGCACATGCCCAGCATGGAAAAGGATCATTCTAAGGCAGAAAAGCACCATGCTGTACGTTCATTTCTAAAGAATTGTCCAGTAATGCTTTGAACTCAAACATCTTTAAGATATAGTCCTCAGACAGACATCAAACTGGGAAACTCTAGCTGCAAACTAACGTGGCTGGTCTAGCACCAGCATGCTATTTGTCTTTAGGCAGTAAGGCAGCAGATGTAGCCCAGCCTCCTGACAGGATGAACTATGATCCTTTTGTGGAGCCAGGAGCCTTATGGCAACTGTATTTCATCATTTCTTTCAAGGATATGACTGCATTCTCACAGAGAAAGGCTGGTTGCTGTGTCCAATCTGGGCCATATTAATTTCAAAGAGAATAAAATATATTACACTACCTTGTTCAGGTGTTAGGGAGATTTTTTCTTTCAGCTTATTTCAGTATTCCAACAAATATGAATCTGTCCTTGTTTTAAAAACCTAAAACATGCAAAATAACGCCTGAGAGCATCTTTTGGGGTGTTATCCTGTGCAGAAATCTGTCATTCGAACCCAACTCCAGCTGCATGTATTCTGTTTGGTCTCACCCAACAGTAAGCCTGAGGTTTTTATATTCAAATTGTCAGTAATGGTGTAATATTTTCATTTGCGTACAATGGAAAACGAAATACTGTGTGAGAGCAAAGCACCATCGGTATCAAACAAATCAGCTGTACTTAGGAGGTCAACACAGTATAAGAATGTGCCACGAGGGTGCAGTTCCACAGGTCACTGTGAGCAAACTGCTGCCTCAGCACATGTACTGTATCTCTCTTATTTCTCTTCTAATTCCATTCAGGACTTCACCTGTGGGGTCTTGCAGGCATATGATAATCACACGTCCCTATTGTAACAGATACATTACTTTTAAAATAGCGTGCTGAATGAAGGGATGGTGTTTCATAGCACAATGCTGTTGTGTTGCATAGATTATACACCCTGCTGTGAAAAATTATATATCTGACATAACCAGGAGTTACAATATAGAATATGGATGATACAAGTGTTAACTATTTGCTCAGAGCTTTGATTAGTGTTTTATACCTTAGTATGGTATACTATAATCCACTAGAATTGGGGTATACTGTATTATACTCTTTCCTCTACTTGTCTGTAAAAGTAGTAGGCTACTTTTTTCCTAAATGATACAGATCAGGCAGGATTAATTGCTTGTTTTGAACAACATTTCAGCAGATTTACACAAATTGGTGTTTCTGCATAAAGAAGGAAGAGACAAAAGTAGAACAATGCACATTTTTAAACAAAAGATACGGCTTCTCACATGCTCAACAGATGCCTATTTAAATGCTTCCAATGCCAAAGAAAAGAACTGCACATGATGTACCGTGCACAAACACATGCAAGGAATTAAGATGGAATGTCTCTCTCCACAAAATCTGTAAAATATTCTTACTATTATCCAGAACAACTGGCTTGAATCCCATGCACTCATTGATAGCCATCCAAAAAAGCTTCAGAAAGATCAATCAACAAGCTAAGAAATTGTTTTAAGCAGGAGCCATGTGATGCATCAGTCCCAATCCACTGATTCCCTTTACTAAGGGAATTTTTTCATTGTAAATTTGTTTTTGCTGGTGTTATTTAAGTGTAATTATGATCATGCTTCACAAGCTGTATGAATTAAAGTTTTACATGTTTTCCATCCACCCTTCCACATTCTAACTCCTTTATTCACTTCAGGGTCGAGGGGGAGTCAGAGCCCTTCCCAGCAAAAAACGGGCACAGGCCAAGATGCACCCTGTGTGGGACGCCAATTCACGACAGGGCTCACGCGGACACAGACACACTCCCAGCAGGGCCACTATTCCCAGAAGCTAATCATCCCACCAGCCTGTCTCTGAGCTGTGGAGAAAAGGGACCCAGAGAATACCCACACGAACACTCAAACTCCACACAGACGGCACTGCTGGAATTGGACCCAGGGCCCCAGCACTGCAAGGAGCAATGCTCACCCCTGCGCCACCATGTCACCCTTTAACGTATTTTATTAAGCTATCATTTGTTATAAGTTCAGGTTTTAAACAATGTGAATGACCAAAACGCACCTATAGATTCGATAAGTATTAGGTTAATGTTAGTATGGTATAATATGTATAGTATAGGCATAGTGTACTATATAGGTATAGTATATATATGTACTATAGGTATAGTATAGGTACAGTTGCAAGAAAAAGTTTGTGAACCCTATGGAATTAGCTGGATTTTTGCATTAATTACTCATAAAAATGCAGTCTGATCTTCAGCTAAGTCACAATAATAGGCAAATACAATCTTCTTAAACTAATAACACACAAACAATTGTACTTCTTCTTGTCAGTACTGAACACAGTGATTAAACATTCACAGTCTAGGTTGGAAAAAGTATGTGAGCCCTTGTATTTAGTCACTGGTAGAACCTCCTTTAGCAGCAACAACCTCCACCAAACGTTTCCTGCAGCTGCTGAAGAGACTTGCACAACGGTGAGGAGGAATACAAACACACAGCACAGAATTGTACAGTCTAAGTTACAATCATCCCACCTCACAACTTTTGCTCATCTATTTCTGGTCTCCTGTCTGTCCCCCAAGCCCGACTACACTCTGGACCCCAAAACTGTGGAATTCCACCCCTAAAGATATCAGAGATAATTTATTATTATACTATATATGTATATATACCGTAGAACATTATGCAATGGTATAGTTGCATGATATATGTATTGTTAAACCATAACCATTTAAGTACAGTTAAAAGACTTAAGTAACCCTCCCTATATGATCATTAAAGTACATATACATTGGCTTTAAGTTGATTAAATTAACATTGATCAACTAAAACAAACAACAGTAATCACAAACTTCTAATAATCAGCTAAAATAAACAACGTGAATCCCTCCTCTGCGTCCAGCAGATGCCTGCACTTTACCAGCTATTTCCCTGCATTTTGATCAGCATGCGCCACTGTAATGAAAAGGGCAAGAAAAACTGTCACCATGCAAGAAGATAAAGTTGCCTCCAGCCGGTTATTCCGGCAGACACAGAATCAGGAGTGTTAGTTAAAATCCAACAACAAGACCATCTTCAGATGCGGACTCTGGGTAGCGGGTACTTGGACAGCCGGCAAGGACAGGCTTGCTCTCGCAATCCTAGCCTGTTATGTTGTTCATTTGAAAGCTGCTCTTAATAACCTTTCATTTCATTTTCATCCCATTCTGTGCGCATTCCTGCAACACACTCTCTCTCTCTCTTTCCTAGCGTTAATCCCGCATCAGCAGGGTCCGCTTGTCGGCACGCCCATCTCCATTTGGTGGTTTGAACCAAATCTTTGAGCAGACGTTGCCATTAACTGCGACCGAGAAATACTCCAACCGGCGCGTCGCTCCGCCTGCCGTCGGAATGGGGGGGCGGGGAGGAGAACAAAGTAATGAAGCCAATTCCTAGAGGGGGATTATTAGGAGGCATGGGAAATTTGGGCAGGACGTTGGGGTTACACCCCTACTCTTTTCAAGATTTTATTGACCACAGAGAGTCAGGACCTCGGTTTTACGTCTCATCCGCAGGACGGCGCCTGTTTACAGTATAGTGTCCCCGTCACTATACTGGGGCATTAGGACCCACATGGACCACAGGGTGAGCGCCCCCTGCTGGCCCCACTAACACCTCTTCCAGCAGCAACCTTAGTTTTTCCCAGGAGGTCTCCCATCCAGGTACTGACCAGGCTCACACCTGCTGAGCTTCAGTGGGTTGCCAGTTGTGAGTCCTGCAACACACCCTCAGCGGATTTTTAAGAAACAGAGGGAAAAAGCAAAACAGGCAAGAGACTTGATCTTGCTTTTCCCTGGGGCATGCGGACGGGACCTACTTCAATGACGTTGGACTCCACGAACCCCGGCAGCCTCTCGTCTTTGCAGACGACCCCCGCGTCCTCATCGTGGGTGCAGTCGCTGTTCCCCCAGCCGCGGGACTTGCAGTCGCCGATACTGTTCTCGCTGCCGCTGCACTGCACGTTGTCCAGCCAGATCTTCCCTGCAGCCACAGCCAGGAAACAGGGGACTCAGGCAACAAGACGGCCACCCTCCCACCTCGGCCCCAGTCGGCAAAGTCAGGCTAACAAAACAAAGCATGCCACTCCCCTTGCTCTGAAAACAGAGCAATAGTCTTTGCAGCACTCTTCCGACCTTTTCAGTAGTTTGGATAGATCCTAATGAACGTGATAGTGGGATGAAACGTTTTTAGCGTAACTCACCTAGCTGAGGGAATGACAGTCCAGCCATGAGAACAGGCTGCCCAAACCCCCTCTTACTACTGTGCAGATTGGGCTAGAGGGTTTGCTGCATGGGTGAAGACAGAAGCTTGGGGGGGGTTCAGAGATATACACGAGCCAAGGACATCTGGGTGTGAATCTTAGATACTTAGGTGTATACACAATCTTAGGTGTGAGAGATTAGGATCCACCCGAAAACACAATTTAAACACTCCATGACTATGGCTGGGTAAGGTTGGACGATGTCTTTCAGTAAAGCAGTACCCAAAATATACTACCTCCTAAGATACACAATGTTGCCTTTTCATTCGTTATTTACAAAAAAGGTACCAGACTGTGCCCAAGAGCCATGGAATAAAGGGAGGAAATTAAGGCTTGAGTAATGATCCTGTGGACGGCTGGAAGGTTTCTTCTCAAGCTGCAGCCAGATTCCATTCGACACACATGGCTCACCTGTTCCTTTTCCGTACTTGGCGCTATGCGCCCACCCTGTGGCCGAGATGAAGCCCAGCTGCTTGCAGAGCACTTGGGCGTTCTCCAGGGAGAAGTCGTCATCGCAGATGGTCCCCCACTCGCCCTTGTAGAAGACCTCGATGCGGCCCTCGTTGTGCTTGCGGGGGTATCCGGCCAGGCGGAACTTGAGCTTGCTGCTCTGCTGCGGGGAGGGAGTGGTCTGCTGGGATAAACAGCAGGGCAGCAAGACACTCACGAGCATGGCCAGGACCCCCCACTGTTGGTACAGCGCTGCCATCTTCATCGCAAGATCACAGCTTGCCTGTAGCCAAGACACAGAACAATTTAGGGTCAGCACTTGGACTAAACCCAAAACACATGACCGTAACCACGCTCAACAAAAAGAGGAAGCAAATGTTGCTGTATTGTACATCTAACAGAATAAGGTAAGTAGGTCCCTTTTCAGGCCATCAAGGCCCATGGGGAATGGGGGGCAAGGGCCACCATTTTTTTCTTGACCATCCGACACTGGAGGTGGAGGTGATGTGGTCAGAATCACACTCCAGCTGGCCTATTACCCCCAGAAGGATTAAACCCTGGTACTCATTGGGAAAGCCGGCTGTGGACCTGGGAGCCGTCTGGAAGGAATGAGAGCAAGCTACATTGCTTGCCCCAACGTGGGATTGAACCAGGGCCCTTCCAGTCAGGAGCTAGACGCCCTTGCCGTCTGAGCTACCACGGCTCAAACAGAATAAGATGCAGCCCAAAGATGGTTATATCGCAGCTGAAAATGTCGAGAAGCATTCATATAATGTCAACACATTCGGCTGATACTTTCAACCAAAGCTGCCATGCATGCCCCCGCTGGAGTGCCGTGGAGCGTTACCACAGCAGCTGACCACATCTCTACTCACCTGTCAGTCAGTGCCAGCTGCCATGGCTACAAAATCAGACAAGAAGCCTGTTTCACCTGTGTGCAATTACAACCTTCCCCATCTCAGGTGGAACAGGCTACTTAAGGTCTCCTCAGGCAGTGCTCTGGGCTCTGTGATACAGTAGTGTTTGCTTGGAGCTTTCTATGTTCCCAAGTCCTCTGTCTTGTGTTTTGCCTGGACTCTTGACTTGCTTCAAAGTTATCTCATCTCCCAGACATGCACTTTGTGCTTTTAAACTGTGATTAATGCCATTTGCTGGCTTGTCTCAACCCCCGTTTGTGCTTTTGTTACATGTATCCCAGCTTTGAACCTTGCCTGCTACTACTACGAATCTGAACTGTGCTTTGCCTGCTTCCCCTGCCCGCTTGCTACAGTTCCCTGCTGCTGTTCTCCCGTGTTTCCTTCGCTGGTCCATCTCATGACCCTTGGTCTGCTGATGTACTCCAGATTACACAGTGGCCATTAGAAAAGTTACATACATTTCTATTACAGGGCATCTGCCCAAAGCAGCCTGAGCAAAGTAGAGCACAACTGCAATGTCCACTAGAGGTTTGAACCTATAACCTTCTAGTTACAAGTCCAAGGTCCTAATCAGTATACTACACTGCTTCCACATGAAGCACATCATGCTGCAGTTTCATTCAAGCCGAGGGATTTTAAATGGAACTTTACTCATCGGCTAATTTGCTGCTCCTCTATTATTATTGAACTTGAAACAAGACAACTATGGTGAATGTGAATCTTCTAAGTATTTATATAACCTTAGTCATTGTGAAATCATCTATTCTAAATCTTTAAATAGGAGACTTATATTTCTGCTGGCAATGTACTGGTCTTATGATTGACTACTGTATTTAGGGGACATCCCCAGGAAACAGGTCTGCACAACAAGGAAGATGAAGCCTCCATCCCAGCTGGACCAAGCATGGACAAGGCAAAGTCTCGCGCCACAAAGGGGAAGAAGGGAAGAACACCAACCCCAGGATGACAGAGGTGGAAGGAAAGTCACGGAATCACAGAAAAGGCGGCTGTGCAACGCTAGCTAGCACTGTTTAAGGCCAATCCTACATGGCCCTGGTGAGGATTCACACATCTGATCAAGCTAACAAACAATCAGAGGCACGGAAAAGATGATGAAAACATTGGCTTCGAAATCCTTTTTCCACTTCCTCACCACCCCGTTATTTAAGAGGTGCGATTTCAAGTGCAATCGGAGGAGTTCTTCACAGGGTTACATGTAACGTGCTAAGTTTCCACCTTTTAAAATAGCTCAGCGTGTGATTTCGGTACGGAAATCTTTTCTCTTGTAGTGTTTATACAAGGACTGATCGTATTTTTCACATAACATGGATGACAAAAAATGCTTTGGACTGCAATTCTCTAAATTTGCAAAAATGACAATACTAATTAAATGTAGTACATACAGACTGTACGTCTATTTATTCATAGTGCATTAGCTTTATAATACTTGATGGAAGGGAAAATATCTCCATTAACACCAACTATTAAATTACTATTGAGTGTAGTCATATCCATACTATGAGTATGCTCATATTCGATCGTGGGAAATGTGTTAAATTATCATGTGTTCTAGCTGCAGAACCATACTGTAAAATGTTCCGGGAAAAATCAAGCAAGGTTATGTTCTGCCGTCTCAACACCACTGACTACGCTTTGCTAAGGTAGAATTTCATCCTGTCCATTCGCAGTGAAAGTATGAGGTGATACAGCCCAGGTCAAACATTCCTTGAATAGTTATTTAAACTCACAGCAGGGTCATTGACATCATTCCATCAGTTATGCAGGACTGACCCCCTCCCCACCCTACCCCTGCCTTCATGAAAGCCCTCGACAGAACAGGCCATATCAGTCCCAGATGATTTTCATCATTGGAAAAGAAAGTGGCTTTACTTTTTACATTCTGTATGTGGAAAACTCTACAGTTATATTCTCTTATCATCTGGAGTTCGTTTTTTTCCCCTCAAAACAAGAGTGAAACTTATTATAATGGATTGAGATTTCTCTGGGCAGAGCTTGCTCATTCTGAAGTGTCTTAACACTGGTTACAGAAACAATTCTCCAGCCACAAACACAAGTGAGTCACAGCATAAGGAACGATCAAGTGTGGATTCTTGGCTATACTAGGAAGGCAATACTCTAAAATTATAAAAAAAGAGTTCTAACATTACAATGCCCCCCACAGAAACAATGACTAATAACATTTTTAAAACCACCTTGGTAATATAATTGTTCTTATTATAAGAATAAAAAACTGTGACTTATATCCAGATAAACTTTTGTAGGTCCACCTACTTTACAGATGGTTTCAATGAAAAATTCTTAGACAAGTACTGAAGGGTAACTGCAAAACAAAATGATGCCCCAAGAAATAATGAGTTTTTGTCTCATAACATAAACCTATAAATACAATATTGTGTATTTACAAGATTTTGATTTTTATTATATTGTTTAATTTAGAACAAAATAGTTCTATATTTATAAAGCTCATATTTCATGTTTAAACACAAGTCCACAGAAACTGCATTAATTCTAACAGTATCAAAATTGCACGCAGCTACTGTATGCAATTAAAAATGACACACCTTGGAATGGAAATATTTTCTTATGCTGTACGTTCTAATGCAACCAAATTTATACTGAAACATGAGCACCAAACAGTTACATCCAACCGTTTAATACATCCTGTATAGTGATTTGTTTATGGGAGAAAAATCAGTTCATGGAACAATTGTAAAGCTTTTGTGTTATAATTGTTAAACACGCCATTGAGACAAAGCAAAGGAAACCGACAGTAATTAAAACCATAAAGCGAGACCAGTGGTTGATTACTCAGTGAGGAAGCAGGTGATTTAGAAAGAGGTCATGCAGAGCCTTGGTGCAGCCATAGGACCAGATGGGGAGTATAAGACTTCGTCGAGTGATTTTCAAGGAAGCACAGTCAATTGATCAATCATTTGAAGTCTGTGAGGGCTATGAAAAAAACTTCAGCTCCACTTACTGGCAGTGCAAACCAATGTCTCAGTTTCTCCATCTGATTAATACTTGAACAGCAACAGGCATAATCTCTTCATCAAACAGTTAAACTGTGCCAAGTTCCATCACAGCTGAAAACATCACTTCAGACTGGAATAATACTATGAAAATCGATTTTCCAATAAGTGTGCATATTATATTTACTGTTTAGATTTGGGGGACAGAAGAGAAACAGCCCCAGCCCACTCACAAGTTTCTCATGCATAATTTTACGAGGGCTGATTTTTTTCATGAAATATCCCAGAACCCCAGACAACAGCAGTCACTCAAGACGGCACTGTCCAGTGCATTCAGACGAGTGTTGATTGTGAAAATGACTGAAGAGGGCTTTCAACTCTGCAAACATACCTACTGCAAACTTTCATAGTGAGTACTGTATATCCTACTGACAAATTCACACACAGGACTTCATCATGAAATACAGTTCTTTCAAATAGGCTTCCTGATATTCATGGGAGCAAATTAACGTTTATTCCATGCTGAAAACAAAAGAAAAGAACCAACAAGTACCAACCCTGAATGGTCAGGTGGGCTCCGCTTAATTGAACCAAAGTCAAAAATCACTACAGCAAGAAGCTTGTATTGCTATCCAAGCTTTAAAACAACAGTTGTGGCTACACATCTATACATACTGTATATACTGTACACACTATAGAAAGGATAATTAGAGGAGGAACTGGCGAAAAGCTAATGCACGCTCCGAAAGTTATCTGTGACCCTGTTCTTCCACAGTTCTATTTAAGAAAACGTTGCTAAATATAATCCTACAATGATGTAACTACCAGTGAGCATAAGACTCCATTATTTAACTTAAAAGATCTCAGCACAAGCACAACTGCAGTACAGGTCATTCCTGATTTGCACATTTTTGCGTTAATGCACCTAAAACCACATCATACCACATCTTTAATTTAGGATTCTACTAGTCCTTACTTTAGCATACTTGGGTGTGGCCAGCAACAGACAGCTTGATGGAGTGTTTGAGACAACAAATGCCATGTGTAGCCACTTGTGGCCGAATAGTGTCTCTTGGGGCTACAAACAGGCCACCATTCATCTCCCATTATCTAAGGTTTACAAATAAATCTGTAAAATGCTGGTCTGAGTCTGTGTCTTACAGTATGTTTATATTGCAGAAAATCAACAAAAACCCTAAAACAAAGCAAGCTGCTGTGTGAAAAAACACAAGAGAAAAAGAAGCATTGTTAATTTAAAGTCCAAAACAACAAAAAAAGAAAACTGTTGCCTTAATGTTCAACAAACAGAACCATTAAATAAAGCGAACTACAAGTGCTAATCAGCTAAAAACCTAAATAAGGAAAAAGATGTATCC